ATTATGCTTTCACTGTAGCTTTCTTGCACAAGCTCCTAGCACAATAGTCATAGGTTTACAGTTAAGATCATATTTAAAAGCTACAGTACTTAAAATCAACGAAAGTGTGCGTTCTGGTATGTGAGGAGACTTCTACTCTCTGCGACTTTTATGCTGAATAGCTGGTAGAGACATTATGATTATATCACTGCTGATGTAATATTTTCGAAGTGTCAAACTAGTAAGTATTTCTATGTAGATGTCAGGTTGTGTTGGTGACCTGATTAATGTGTGCTTGGACCCATTTCCAGACCCTTTGATATTCATCTGACATCCTAATCAACGTGCATTAAAGTGGAAAAACTTGATGTGACTTCTTGTTCTTTTCAAATACTGTTGTTTGATGGTTCTAAGTTTGTGAAATTCTTGTAATGTCTTATTTCTACTGTTTATTAGCAGAATATAACTTATAATTGTGTTTTTTCCACTTCAGTTTTTACCTTTTCTGTTGGTTTCCATCAGTTTGTAAAATCTTCTTCCAATTCTTGGAGTTGACTTCCTCTTTTTTCTTCACCAACATTTTGTGCAGCCATTAGCTCCTGTGTGCAAAGTTTGCCAAACCCAAAAGCCCAAAGACGTGGATGACAGAAATAGTATATGGTCATGCAAATTTTGTACCCTGGATAACAGTCTAAAGTTGGATCAGTGCACAGCCTGTGGAGAATGGAGATATTCTCACGGCCCTCCTGTAGCAACATCAGCACCCAATCTTGGCACTTGAGGTGAACATGAATTGTGGGAACTCACTTTTTTTCTCGAAATTGTCACTCCTGATTATTGATGTCAATTTTGCGTTGCCCATCAGTTGATCAGTATTCAAGAATTCACCTGATTTGATAAACTGGAAAAGCTTTTTGTCTTTGCTAATTGTGCTAAGGTGGTAGTTTTACTTGTGAATCTCCAATAGAAGCTTGTTTATCCTCATACTTTCCTCTCAATTTTCTTCATGTCAATTTCTTTTTATCAAGAAATATGCTATTCACATTTGGAAAGAAAGAACCAATGTATCAGCAACATGTTTTTGTTATTTTTGGTAGAGTTGAGCTTGTCTTGAAAAGATGTAGATAGGGAAATACTCTTTGGAAGATGTTCACCTCCTCCCTGCAGCAGACTTCCATTATTCCCCTTGAGTCTCTTGAAAGACTGATTAGGTTGGGACAGGATTCGAATCTGCAATCTTCAGGTCATGAGTCTGATGAGTTGACCAATTCCTCTACCCCGCTTCTTCATTGCAGGTTCTTCTGTAGAGAAAGGACATTGCCATTTAGCACTCTGGCAGAGAAATGGATGTGCTGATTTTGTCTCAAATTTGGAAGTTGAAATCCTCGATGCGTCTTCTAAAGGAATGACATTTGAACAGAGCATGCCTCACTAATTCAGGTGGCTGTGTAGATAGACCCAGAGAGTGAACATCAAGTTTTTCCAGGGATGATGAACATGGAAGTTTTCATGGCTGATGATATAATTATTTCATGGCCAAATTATCAAACCCTTAAATCAAGTTCAACACGAACTTGAATTAATTGTTCATGGTGAGCAAATCCAAATTATTATTACTATTCGTCAAGTGTTCATGACAGTTAGTTCAGATTTAAGATCAAGCTCTAAAACTTTAAAATCAAATATTGTGGTCTGTTAATATTCTTCTTGTATTTGATTATCACATTAGAAATGTTACATGGTGGTGGTAGTCATATTCATTTTAAAAAATTTGGACTGCATAATTGAGAAATTTTGGAGAAAAAAAATAGAGCGACCCTTCACTCAAAGCAGAGACGAAGTCAGAATTTAAAGTTTGTGGACAGGACAACGACTTCAAATTAAATATATAACAACGGCCAAACTAATTATGAACAGGTACCAATACTTAGAAAGGTGATGAGCTACTTAAACACTACATAATTATAAACATTATAATTATAATTGCATTCGAAATGTCATCGTTTTCAACTTCTTTAAAAATCAATTTTGGGTTTTGGCATTTTGAGCGTATGTGAAGAAGCATACAATTGATATTTTGTTGTAGAGTAGACATTGCTTTTCTCTTTCTTTTTTCCAATCATTTGTAAGAGCTGTTTGACCATAAATATTATTCACTTTATTTCGAAATTCTTATTTAATTATAAAAATATCAAATATAATTTGAAATTTTGAGAAACACCTTATTATTTCACCCTTTATTATCATTTTATTTTAAATATTAACCCAACTTCTTACTATCACTTATTTTTAAATATATTACCCCAATAAAGTTATGGTTGACAGAACCATGGCTCCATATGGCTAGTTTTTCAATGTTCAATAGTTGTAAGATTAGTTAATTTGCTAGTTTTTATAATTACGATCTAAAATCATATTTATAAAAAATACATCCGAATTCTAAAATAAATATTCTAATATTATGATCGAACACAACTCCAATTTTAAAAATTTCAAATAAAGTAAAATAACTTTTTTAATATCCCAAATTCCTACTTAAAGACCAAAGTAGAAGCTTGATGTCCCACTATTCACAACTTCACATATGATGGATGATGTAGTACCTACGTATGAGTTTCCAGTATGAATGCGTCAAATGGTTTACTTTATTTTCTAATTTTATTTTTCCACACTTTTTAAAATATATTTTTAAAAAATATATTTGTTGTTTATTTTTAGTTTTGGATGGACACATGTTAGAACATGCATTTATAAGAAATTTCCACGCTTTAAATAATAAAATATAGTAAGATGTATCCTTAAACAAGAAATTTCCTCACATGATTAGACGTAAATGTTCCATATATCCTTTCCAATCAAAATTAAATTGAAATATTTAAGAAATTCTATACACTACTAACGAAATTCCTAATTTTATCATTATTTTTAGATGATAAATAGAGACGGAGCCAAAATTTGAAATTTGAGAATTCTAAATTTTAGGACGGTTTGAACCCACAACATTAGTGTGAAAAACATTTTCACCACTCCTTCCTTACCGCTAAATTGTTAATGAATTTTGTTATGAGGTTCACAAGTTACTATGCATATATATATATTTAATTTTCTTATATAAATATAGCATCTACAGAAAAACTAGTGAATTCAACTGAATCCACGAATCCGACTTAGCTCCGCCCCTGATGGTAAAAGAGGGAGGTGGTGGTTATATATACATATAATATAAAAATAACTCGTTTTCTTGTCGAGTATGTTTTAAAAGTCTAGCAAGTAACACTAGTGGTAACTTCATTATTTTATAATTGACTTAAAATTGAAGCTTAATTTTGAAAGATGACTTTATTATTTTATAGTTTGACTTAATATGATACCGTCTTTCATCTCATGGCACTTGGTATGGTAGTCGAGTAATCAAGATTTTATTTTTATTATTATTTTTTATGATTATAATGTTCAGATCAATTTTTGCGCATTCATTAATTTCATGAGATACATGCCACCTTTCACCTGCAGTGTTTAGTGAACACTTTAGGTTAACATATTTTTAAAATCATTTTTCTATGTTTATTTTCTCTAGAAATTGGCCAAGAAGGAATTAAGGGGATTCCACACATTTAAGCAATCAATCTATTTAAAACTTTGATAAATAAATAAAAACGAGTAATTAGTTTGTAAATTTCGTAGTAATCTTTTGGCTTATCTTTAAATATTGAGGGTGACATTCTATAACAACTAGGGGTGTGCATTCGGTTTTTTGGTTTGATTTTACACTATTCGGTTTGGATTTTCGATTTTTGGTTTTGTAAAAGTGTAACCCAATCCGATCCAAAATAAATTTGGTTTGGTTTGGTTTTCCTCTATTCGGTTTGGCTTTCTTTGGTTTGGTTATTCGGTTATGTCAATAATTAATAACATATATAACCAAAGTAATAATATTTAATCCCTTAAATATACTTTCTAATATAAATCATAAGTAAAACTTAAAACACAATACTTATAAGTATACCTATTATAGATGTAATTCAAACATAAAAGGGAGAAGACACAAGTACCCCCTAGATTATGACCGAAATCATAGAGACACACCTTAACTAAATTAAGGTCCTATTACCCCCTTGAACTCATTTTTTTTTGTAATTTTGTACACCTTTTGACTTATGTGACACACCACGCGACTCCACACAATATATATATATATATAAAATTCGGTTTTTTTCGGTTTTTATCTTTTAAAATCCAAAACCAAACCAAAAAACCAAACAAAGTAATTTATTAATCCAAAACCAATCCGAAAAACCAAAAAGCCAATCCAAATAAAAATTCGGTTTGATTTGATTTGGTTATTAGGTTTAATCCGAATAGTGCACACCCCTAATAACAACAGAAAACGATACAATCAATCTAAATGTTATATTCATTAAAACAAAATGCTACGACACAATACAATACAATACCACAAATAATAAAACAATCATCCAAACAGAGTGTTAAAGTCGAAATAAAAGTTTAAATTATAAAACCGCGTCATAATAGTACAAATTGCAATATAAACTAATTAGGATGAATCGAAGACCATAAGAGAAAGGTTTATTATGTCATTAATAAGGCAAAGTCCACCAGACAGTCTGTCCTTGCAAAGTGAATAATACACGCAAAGCTGAACATGCCCAAATCTTCATAGCCAATTTTCAGTTCCATTTATCTTATTTAGAAATGCTTTCTCCGTTTACTTTTACTTGTCTACTTTAAATTTTACACGTCTTTCAAGAAATAATGATAAATATGGATAGTTTTACCACAAAATCCATATTAATTGATGTATAATCTTAGATACAGAAAAAAAAAATCTTGATATTTTAAAAGTGACTATTTATATTTTGAAATACTAAACAAGTAAAGGTGAACAAAATAGAGCAAGCATTTCTTACACTCTCTCTCTCCAAAGTGTCTCAAAGGCAGAGTACCCTAAACTGTGCTTATATATATACTACTCATATGCCATTACTTGTCCATTGTGTCCACTTCTTTGAGAAACTAGCAACAACCAAAGTTTAGTTCTGTTTCTACTCTTGAGCAATGATGGTAAGACTCTACTACAACTATACAAGTTCATTTTTTCAACAGCTATGCAATTTTAGTTAAGCTGAGACAGTTTACATGCAATACTGCAGCAAAAAATTGTCATAAGAGTACATCATAACTGCAAGAAATGTCAATCAAAAGCCTTGATGATTGCTGCTATGTCAACTGGTACAGCAAATTTCATATAACATTAACTTTGTTTCTTTCCCACCTTCATTTTGCTCTTTGCTTTATGTAGGAGTCAACTCGGTGGCACTAGAAGGGGAGAAGAAAGATAAAGTGGTGATAATAGGAGAAGCAGTAGATGCAGCAGGCATTACCAGTTTATTGAGGAAGAAGGTAGGCCACGCCAGCCTGGAGCTTGTCGATGAAGTCAAGTGAAGAAGAAGTCGGAGAACTGAGCTGCATTCAGAATAGATGTGACGATGAATGTATTTAATTTAAAGCATATATTTGTTATTTAGAAGAAACAAATAAATACCTTCTTTAAATTTCATGATGATTCATCATTGTGTAATATTTTTAACTTCAAGATCAATACTATATATTCCCTTTTGCTTGAATCATTCAAACAAGTTTCAGAGAAGGGAAGAATCAAAAAATGCTTTTAAAAAGATAACTCTAACATTCAAGACAGAATGAGGAGTCAGATAAGAGCAGCAGGGTCCATAGTTAATTGCTCAGTATTCATATGTCTAAGAGATGCAGCCAAATAAGCATCTGAAGCACGAATTTGCGTCAGTCTTTCTTGCATATTCTGGAACGAAGGACTATATAACACATCTGATATTCTATCACCTAGTGATGGATCCTCTGAGAAATTGACCAGAGCTTCTGCAGCATTATCTCTCATTTCCTCCGACTCATCCTGTAACATATCTACTAATCGCGGAATAGCTCCAGAATTTGCAAGAGCAGCTCTATCTGCTTCATTGTAACTCAACTGGGTGATAGCTCCAGAAACCTTTTCCCTGACATCAATGTTTTGGTCTTCCAACAGCTGAACTAGAATAGGAATTGCACCTGAATTTCGCACAACTGATGGCAAATGCTTGTAACCTGCGAGATCCCACAATACATCAGCAGCCGCAGCTTTAGCTTCGGCACTATCTCCTCTTAGGATTCTAACCAAATGTTCAACAATTGCTACACCATTCTCTTCTACCACTGCTAGAATGCAAAAGACATCCTCTGCAATCTCCTTACCCATGGGATCAGTTCCTTGCAGAAGGTCAGCGTAAAGAGGAATCGCTCCAGCACTAGCAAGGGGTCTAATGTAATCAACATGAGATGAGATCACACCAAGTGCATTAGCAGCTACGACTTTAGTTGAAGTATCCCCAACCTGAAGTAGTTCTAGAAGCACTGAAAATGTGCCCGAGTCAACAAGCGTGCGCCTTGCTCTCTTGACCAATCCAAGCAACCCAATTGCCTGAGCAGCTCTACATCTAGATACCATGCTTCCACGTCTAGCAGCTTCAACAAGAAAACAAACACCCCTGGAAATCAAAATGGTCCTCCTAACTTCTCTCAGAAGAGCCAATGCACTGAGAATTTCTAGCAAGTATCGCTTTAGATCATCCGAGCAGGTATTCAACAAATTGAGAATGATTTCCAGCCCACCATGTCTAACTACAATCTCACGGTTATGAGCAGCAAACGTGACACTATTTCTAAGGCATTTCAATAAAACCCTTCGCAAACTCCCATCAGCATGCAATAATAAACTCAAAAGAGAAGGGATGGCACCTGATTCACCAATAAGTACAGCCAATCTTCCTTCCCCTCGACAAGCAACACATTTCAAGCAGTGAGCAGCAGCTTCCTGAATTGAAGGACTCAGATCAGTGGAAGGGATCCCTCTAAGAAGCTCTACAAGGACAGGGATCGTGCGTGCTAAGAGATCCTCAGGCGCGTGTTTCGACAGTTTGGCTAGCTTAGTTGTAGCTTGGACCCATAAAAGCTCATTGTCACATGCAATTGCATTTACATAAAGATCAAATGCTCGTTCCCAATTTATGCCAGGTTTTTCAGTTGTTCTACCAAACTGGGCCATTACAAACTAGGATCCCTTTTATGGTCACTCTGTACACTCTAAGCGCTGTAAACATCAGAGGAAGGAAAATTAACTTCCAAACATACATCGCCATTTGTTGAAAATTATGTTGTAAAAAAGGGCTCACAGAACGCTACATTTAATAGACATAATTGTTTTGCTGAACCTACTTTACCACATATTTAGCACCATAAAGCAGGTGAAGCAGTGTATAATCTATACAAGTTTGAGAACAGCTCGCAAAAATCATATTCAAACACTACTCTAGGTACATTAAAAGAAGGCCATAAGGTAAAAGTACTGCAAACAAACTTCACCATATAAAAGACTGCGACCTCAATCAGGTTATCAAGAACAGACTCATATGGAAGACTAATGAAGTGAGGTTCATTGAGGGCATAAAACCACTGTAGATATCCAAAAGTTACAAACACACATGTTGTCTCTCTTGTACAATATACTAGTGAATGGTATACTTTTTTAATATAACCATGGTGTCCGGGCCAGCTTGATATTTCACGAGATACATGTCACCTCCCACCCGCAACAGGTATCAGACAACTCTATCCACTAAGGCTAGGATAGATGGGAAGAAATCACATAGTATTTTTTGTCTTTGTCGGGATTTGGACCTAAGACCTCATGGTTCTCACCCACTTCATTGACCACCAGGTCACACCCTTAGTTGCCTAGTGAATGGTATACTAAAGCCTTGTCATGGCTATGAAAAATGTCAAAGTAAAAGTTTCCAAGCCTTATCATGGCTGTTTTATCATATCGTATACTATAACCTAATTAGATAGTTCGGGCCAAGGGGAGGTGCCAAGGTGTATGTTATTTGCAAATGACATAGTATTGATTCTAGACAAGTGGCGGAGTTAGCGATAGGCTGAAGGTTTGAAGACAGACCTTGGAGTATAAAGGGTTCAGGTTGAGCAGGACACAAAATACTTGAAGTGAAAGTTAAGTGATGTAACTCACTTGGTAGATGTGGAAGTGAAGATTGATGCACAAGTTTCAAGCATCTTGGGTCAATTGTCCAAGAAATAGGGAGATTGACGATGATGTTACTCATCATATTGCAGCAAGGTGGATGAAATGGAGGCTAACATACGATGTCTTGTGTGATAAGAATGTTCCACCAAGACTCAGCGGTAACTTTTTATATAAAGTAGTTGTTAGACCAACTATGTTGTACGGTGTGGAGCGTTGGCCGATCAAAAACTCGCATGTCCAGAAAATGAAAGTAGCAGAAATGAGAATGTTGAGATGGATATGTGGGTATACAGAGAGAAATATGATTAGGAACAAAGTAGCACCCACCCTCAATTTAGGGCAAAAAGAGTTCACACATTAGCAGGCAAATTCTTTCTATTTTCCTTATACTCAAATCATATTGGCAAAGGGGTTTTACAGGTAATTAACTTAAATTTTGCATAAGAAAGACAAAACTCAAAAAAGACAAGTGAATGAATATGCACATGCCAATAAGTACATGTAGAAGGTGATTAAAAATTAAAACAAACCCTCTTCACTAATTAATGAGTATTTTTTTCTAAAAAGGGTATCAATCAATTTCATTTTACAGCGATTAAGGTAAAAACTTTAGGTACAGTTACATTCATTCATAGAGGAATAATAAGCAAGGAAGCATCAAAATCATACACAATAAAAACAAAAATTCGAATAAAAAGCTTGCCTTTGGGATTTGTGTCAAAGCAATCATCCGTTGTGGAAAACTCACTTTGGAGTTTCAGGAATGTGCAAATGGGAAAAAGGAATATGATAAAGAAGAAGAAGGAAAATTAACAGAAATGATTTGATGGTCTGGTCGGTCTCTCTACTTTTTTGTAGTTTAGATCCAAAATTGATTAAAATGAAGAGCGGTCAAATTTGAAGTGAAAAAGTTGGTAAAATTTATATTTATATTATAATATTTGAATAAAAAAAATTTGAACTTAAAATAGATAGAGATCTGTTTTTTTTTTTTTTTGGCTTTTATGAAGTTCTGCAAAATGTTATATTAAAGAATAAATCATGATTTCAAAATTGATAAAAATTTAAGGATATTTTATTTAAATAAATTATATTAGTTACTTATAACTTAAAATAAGTACTTATAAACATTTTTTTTTTAATTCAAACACTACAAAGTTACTAAAATTTCAATTTCTACGAGGGTGAGTGTCACCCTAAGGAAGTATTATAGAATTTGAAATTCTTTGTATATAATTTTTGGATGCACAAAACAATTCAATAATGAAACAATATTATATTACTTTACTATTATGTAGAAGGGCTGTTAACAACTGTCCATCCATACACTTGCTTTTAATTGAGGATATTTTAGAAATTCAATTCTCTCTATTTAATTTTTTTTTAAGTTTGTTATGTATTTGAAAATTACATAAAAAGTATGATAAATTATATTAGTTACTTATAATTTAAAATATTTAAAAATCATATAAAATGTTTGATTGACTCTCGAAATTTCATTAGCGTCACATAAATTGAGACAACTTATGTATCTAATTTATACTATTGCCCTTTAACCATCGAAGTCTGCACATTCTGTCCATACACATCGAAAGTATGACAAAATGAGTATATTTGAAGTGAAAATACGTTTATTAAACTATTTCTGACAGTACAATAATATAGTTGACCCTTTTCATATATCATGACGTATTTAAATAAAATCGAGCCCTTGAGGATTTTCAACACTCGATGAAACATGGATAATCGAAATGCTTCAATTATCATTTGATTTGCCTTTAAGATAAAATCGAAAAAGTTGAATTTCTGTCATAAGAAATAGAGAGATTAATGAATATAATAACTTGAAAGACCAAAGGATAGAAGCTTTTTACTTAATTTCATTTTACAAGTTTTTGCACTCAGATTATGCACCAGATAAACCACAATTATTTATAAATGTAATAGAGAAGTAGACAATAAACAGACTCCAAAAAGTATTCTTTAACTGAGATTTTCTCACTAAACAAAAGTGTCTCCAAAGCTGCCTTTTAACCATTTGCAGCAAGGTACAAAACTGTAGTACAATGGCCATATATTACAACAGCCAGCAGATGATGTCAAAATTTTGTGCAGTATCTCACAATATACACTGTACCATTATATAATTACACTTACCATAAGTATTTTTAAAAAACGCATGCTTCACCTGAGGCTTGAGAATATATGGTTATGTTTGTGTGGTTTGACTTCAAAACCTCAAAGGTAGTGCAAAAGTCCCACTTCAACTGCTGAAACTGTATGTCTTAACTGTGTTTCCTGCCATGAATCATAAGGATTGAAAGTTATAGAAGATTATTCAGCATCAAGTTAAGAAAAGATAAAAACAGCTTCCGGAAAACATAAATAGAGATGCTTTGCTTACCTGCGTATGTGTATTGATCTTTGACTTTCAACTAAGGGCTATAAATCACAAAATTAGCCTTATAATAAGTATGCAGGGCAGAAGATTGGTGACCAGTGAACTCAAACATATTATCGTCTTTCATATTTTCTGGCAAGTTCCTTTAGAAGCAATCTCTGCCGAAAATCAAGATATTTGTCCACGCTAGTCCTTGCCCACTGCTGACAAAAAGATTCATCAGTTGGGACCAGTGAACTTAATGGAAATGGTCCCTTGGGAGCCCTCTTTAGAGAAACCAAAAACATATGGCGAGGCCTAATTCTCTGATCCAGCGACAAGCTTAGGTACATCGGATATTTAGTTAATGATCGCACTTCATTGCCAAGTTCATTAACCAAGTAGCTGTACTTAGGTTTTAGATTCCCCTCAAGTGATAGAGAGAAGACCTGCATGTAAAGACATTGTGAATATATGTCCATGAAAATATATCAATCTAAAAGAATGAGAAATCTTCAATAGCATTGAAGACTTCCATGCTAGCACAGCTATAATTCTCTGGAGCATAATACATAAACGTCCCCTTCAACTTGGCCTCATATGGTATCTATGCCCTCCAACTTTGGGTATACACTTAAACATGTGTAGAGTTGAACAAATAGACACACATGTCATACTTGACGCCTATGTAGCAATTCACATCCTATATGGCATCCTACATGTATTGTGCCACATAGGACACATGTGTCTACTTGTTCAACTTTATACAAGTTTAAGTATCTACTTGTGCATACCCAAAATTTGAGGACATAACCAAGTTAAAGGGTATATTTATGTATTATGATTTATGCCTTCTCCGTAATGTAATCATTATTTTTATCCGATAGTACTAATTTTAAGTAATAAGTCGGCTATACTCGGAAATCTATTATGAATGAGCAGTAGGTTATGCAAAATAGGAGATAAGATGTAAAACAGCCCATCTCTATGAGAAATTGGCCAGAGCACCATTTTCTAACTTGGTGAGACAACCAACCACGCTCACAAATGAAGATATAAACTGCAGAAGCAATAAAGCTGACCTGTGTAATGCTAGTTAGCACTTTCACTATCTCAGAATTGCGCATTCCGATGCTCCTAAAAAAGTTAATCCGGGGAAGCAATCCATCCTCTATGCTGTAGTGAAGTAATTGAGGATGCTTCCTAACCATTTTGACAATACTATCTCTGGGTGCATTCAATTCTCTGGTGAGAAAATTGAAGCGGGATGTCCATGAAGTGTTAATCCGCTGCACCAGAATTTGAGGGCTTAACTGCACAACTTTAGCCAGGTCATTCTTCTCAATACCAACCTCCTCGAGTAAGTAAGTCACTGTGGGTTTTAATGAATTTTCCACACTATAGGAAAAAAGAGACGGAGTTGCAGTAATTATCTGTCCTATTCTTGAGTCTGGGATACCCAAACTAGTTAAAAATGTGACATGGGATTTCAGATTGTTTTCCACAGTATACTCGAGAAGTTGAGGCTGCCTCAATATTATCTTCCTGATGTCTTTATGTTTGACACCGACACTCAACAAGAACTCCAACCTTTCCTGTGCAGAACTCTTATTTATTTGAAGGGAAGGCATGTGCCTTTCATACATCTGGATGAAGTGAGAGTCCTTAAATCCAAAGGTACTTAGGTAATCAAGAAGTGGATACCATCTCTCATCGAGATCCAGTTCCTCTGCAAGATGACTAAATCTGTCCTTAGCTAAGCTTCCTCTTGCCTCCTACAATGCCACAAGACATGATTTTGCAGCTAACGGATGAAGCAAACTATACAGCTTGACATGCTAACATTTAATACCTTTCTCTGTAATCTGCATGCAAGAAAGTTTAACTAGTCAGTTTACTTGAAGAATTAGCATACCCAATATTTTCTCTTGGGAACTTCCATTATTTATTTTTTTTGTTCTTGTGAACTTTCATCATTTTTATTGCTCGACTTGCCTTGGGTTATCTCAGGAGTTTGCCGCCGGTGTCCCAACTTTGCATTCGATCCTCCTTCTGAATGGTGATGACTGTCTGCATGACACACAATAGCATGTAATTTATGTTCCTTCCCAACCATTAAGATGAAAAAACTGGAAGTATACCTCGTCTGATGTTTGTTGCATTCTGAAACTTCAGGTGTTGCCGATCCTGGGCAGAAACTCTCACATCTAGTGATTCATCCTGGGTGATTAAAACATGGTAATAGAAAAGGAAAAAGAAGGAGCATCAAGTTTTCGTGATTCAAAGAAAAATGGATGGGGAGGAGGAGACTGTAGCATCAGTAACCAAGACTATATAAACCCCAAAAGAACTCAACCAAGATTGTCCAAAAAAGAGTGCTAGTGTAAGCAGAACAATATAAGACAAGCTTTCTCAGCTTGTACTCAAACATTTATCATTGTGAAATTGAAGATAAAACAAAGTGACTATATGCTGCAACAACATAAAAGTGTTATTTGATCTTTTGAAACAAGACGAACAAAAGTATGTGCTACCTGTGGTATCAACACTTGTTCTTTTCTATTAACAATAAAATTCTTTTCATCCTAAGTGATTAATAATTTATGCAACATCATTCAACAACAAGCTAGCTTTACATCATACTAACTAGTGGGGACACCTGACTAAACTTGCCAACGTTATAGGATTCCATATCAATAAATTAAACGCGTTGCAGTCAATTTAGTACAATGAACTAACATAGACAATAAAAATTGTTAACAGAGTATATTTATGTGGTAAGGTTAACATTCAACTGGTGTTCTACTTGTGAAGTTTTTTCAATATTTTCTTAAATGTATCCGCACTAATGAAATTGTACTAATAAAACCCAGGTAAAGTATTAACTTGCGAGGAAATTGAAACTCACATCAGAAGTTGAAATGTCGTCGTCTTCTTCATCTTCAAAACTATCATCATCATCTTCATCGGAGTCAGAGTCATAAGGAGATAACGGCTGGCCATACCTAGACCTTCGCTTAGGCTTGAGAATCTTCGGATTGGTATGAGAAGAAACAACGCAAATTCTACTAAACCTGAAGAAGCAGCTCTTCCGGCTACGGACAGAAGGGGGAAAACTGATATTGAAGAAAATGGAAGTGTGAGAATGGAGTGGGAAGTTGCAGATAATAGAAATAGCTGCTGCTGCCATATTAGTTAGTTAGTGAAAGAAGAAGCAAAAGAAGGAATATACTCTAAAACCCTAAATTTAGAGGATTTGGAAGTATATGGTATTTGTGAGGAAGATATGGTGTTGTGTTGTGGCCATCTTATCTTCACAAAAATGCTTAAGAGGAGAATGGTCCACAGAATGTCTTTACTCCTCGCAACAGTCGCAGTGATTTTTCCGCTTCACAGTTTCTACAGCATTCAGGAAATGTACAAAACTAAATTCAAGTCGCACACAAAGCCTATTTGAAGGTGGCGTTTTCAATAAAAAAAAATTCATACTTAAAATTTAAACACAATACATTTAATTAAGGGTAAAACAATCACACTACCTTAATCCAAGTTGGTAAGGACAATTGTCACCATTTCGAATCATTTCCACATGTGTTTTGTTTTAAATCTCAAATTCTTCTCCATAAAATATAATTTTATATTTTGTAAATAAAAAACACAAAAATCAAGTTGGGCATGAACACATTATTTGTAATATGTGAAAAGATTATATTAAAAAATTATGGTCAAAGTGAATAGATTAACTATTGAAGTGTAAAGAATTATTTTGTGTCATGTGGCATATAGTTAATTCATATTTGAGGAGGTAATTAAGACTTTTCATAATTTAGGTGTACATTTATTAAAGTGTACCAAATTTAAGAGTTCTTTAACAAGTATATTTAAATTTCTTCATCTACGACTGAAAAGCAAAAAAGCAAAATGAAGAGTCAAAGTAAAAAAAATTCAAATACAAATACTAGCAGAAAATATTTTTTAGTATTTGATAACAAGTAAAAAATTATTATATTAAAATTATTTATATATAACCTAACAAAATACTATAAGATGAAAAGTGGGGGCTCATGGGCTGAGTCTGCTGAGATGATCAAAGATGTGTTCAGTGAGTAGAGAGGAGATACTGAATTTGAAATGTCATTTATGAAATCTGTTTCTCACCTTCGTATTGAAAAAATCATTTTTCTCCTTTTTAAGAAACTTATATTTCTAGAGAAAACATTTTTCAAACACATTTTGATTAACACAACTTGAAAAGCATTTTCTAATATCTTTTTTTTTTTAAATTTCTCAACCCCAAAAAAAGAACCAGGAGAGAGCAAGGAACGCAACGTGGAGAGATTAGGGCAAGAATACAAATTTGTGGTTGTTAAACATTTACACCAATTTTACCCCTATAACCAAAAGAAGAATTGTGTGCTCCTTACTCCCTCTCCAATGGCCACTCCATTGGCGCCTCTTCATGGATTCAATTCACCAGCAATTCCATTAAACAAGCAACCTCAGTTTCCTCTTCTTATGAAACGAAACAGGCAATTTAGCAACTCAATCAACGCGGCCTCCACAGATATTATTACTGCAGACCCAACTCAGGTGGAAATCACTTGGCAAATTGTTGCTGGCTCTTTGGGTACTATTTTACCTTCTCAATTTACATGTCTTTCAGTTGTTAATTTTTAGGAAAAATAAATATTTTATGTCTGAATTGACAATCAAAATTAAAAAGGTTTAATTCTCAAAATTTGAAATGTGTCATAGAGCATATGAAGGTCGCAAACAAGGATAGCGGGTTGTCTTGTTACTACTGGTCTATTCTTAGCATTAAACATCGAGTCAGTCATAGTATCAACCTATTCATGTAATTTTTTATTTTTGGTATATGACATTATCTGTGTGATTTATTGTGTTTAGATTACTGCACATTGTTGTTGTTTCAGTTTCTTGTATATATTCTCCGCACTGTTTTGCTATTAGATAGTATTATGTTTATCTTCATTGTCATTTTTTTTACACCATTTTTCTTTTAAGGAAAAAAAGGTAAATATACATTCGAACTATCGTAAATGATTTGCAGATACCCTCAGTCATACTTTTGGGACATTTGTGCCCCTACCGTCCAAAAACGATAGCATATATACCCTTTATACTGACGTACATACACGTGTCATAATCTTATCCACCGATCCGACATTTATTAAATATCGAATCGACGGATAAGATTGTGCCACGTGTCCCTATATAGTCTTCCGTTAGAGTGAAGAACATATATGCTCTAGTTTTTGGACGGTAGGAGCACCAATGTTACAAAAGTATGACGGAGGGTATCTGCATACCATTTAAGATAGTTCAGGGGTATATTTGTCTTTTTTCCCTTTTTTTAATTAGCTTGAATTGAGGGTTTTTCAAAAACAATATCCTAATAAGACATGCGTATATTCTAACCTCTCAAAGCTCCTATGAGATTTCACTGAATATGTTATTGCTATTGTTATTTTTTTTTGGGGGGGATTAGCAAACTAATGAGAACCATTTATGCAGCGGGTGTGACACCATTTGTGGTAGCAGGAGTGGAGTTTAGCAAGAGAATTGTTAAGTACCATTAATGCTAAATTCTATTTAATTTCTTGCATCCCATACTCAAAAATCTGATAAAACTTGTTGGTTTTGCCAGGTAAAACAGAGGAAATGTGAAGTTTGTGGGGGTTCAGGACTTGTTCTTAAGAACAAATTTTACAAGAGATGTCCTAATTGTGGTACTAAGCTATCCTACTCTACTTTATGATATTCAATTTTTCTTCCTTTTTACTCATGACTACAAATTGAATATTTCAAACTAGTAATAGGTCTTAGAACAAATCGCAGCTTTTATAGCAACCAAAATTATAGCTATGAAGTGGAATTATCGAAAATATAGTTATAGAGCATTATTATGTATATTATGTTTGTTGTTTCTAATTTTTTTTAAATGTAAAACAGGGGGATTTCTTCCTTGGCAGTCTTGGAGAAGATTCTTCACTGGTTAATATACAGTACTGTAGTACATTTGTGGAAGCTTCATACCAAGTTTGATGATTCACTCTGTACATCCAATATACATATGTATACTACTTGTAAAATATAAGATTTCGATATAAGTCGTCATGTATACCATGCATATTCTTTTGACTTTGGACTTACTTTTCCATTTAATGGATATGACACATTTTTATATCATAAGTTTAAAAAAAATAAACAAATTGAGGTATATATACACTTTCCCATTAGGAGAGAGGAGTATATTTAGAGGAAAGACATAATACAGTATAAATATATCTTTTAACTTGGTCTTATTTCATATTTATGTCATTCAACTTTGAGTGTGGATAAGTAGGCATTTGAACTTGTATAAAGTTGAACAAGCAGACACATGAGTCATATGTGACATAATACATATAGGACACATAAAATAAAAAATGTCATGTAGGATGTATGTGTCTATTTGTTTATATTTATAAAAGTTTAAGTGTTTACTTGTGCAAAATCAAAGTTAGAGGGCATAAATGTAAATTGAGGCCAACTTAAAGGGCATACTTATGTATGGCATAATACATAAACATGACTCTCAACTTGACTTCAGCTGACAATTATGACATTTAACTTTGAATGTGCACAAATATGCACTTAAACTTGTATAAAATTGAACAAATAAACACATTCGTCCTACATGGTGTCCTACATGTATTATGTCACGTAGAACACGTGTATCTACTTGTTTAATCTTATACAAGTTTAAGTACATGTTTGTGCACATTCAAAGTTAAATGTCATAGTTGTCAGCTGAAGTCAAGTTGAGAGTTATGTTTATGTATTATGCCTAGAGGAAAATATAAATAGTTGAGTGATATTGTGGTCCTAAAATAAAAAAAAAAGGATATATTATGGGACAAATTTCCAAACATAAGTGACTATCTAAGGAATTTACTCCATTTTTAACACATTAAGTAACAACAGAGACATTTTGGATCAAACAACTGATGGTGGAGATATTTCTACATCAAGTTATTAAGAAAAATATATTTTTACTCAATTTCACATAATTTAAGAAAAATCAACTCCACACAAGAATATATTCAGTCTAAAACAATGATGAAGCAAGGGAGTACAGCACTTGAGTCCTTTACAATCAAGTATTGTGACCATGAATGGAGTCCACTTGCAATTGAAATTGAATCATACTCTTCATCAAGTTTTACATCATCCTTTCTTACTACTCTACCAGCAATTGTCCTGCAAACTATCACAGCTCTCTTCACATTCTTTCCCTTAGAGACGCGATTCGCGTGCTCACACGGGACATCACTGTTTGTGTTTAATTGAATTCCATTTTTCGAGTTGTACAAAGTTTTGAAGCTGGATTGAATTAGCCTGCAAACACAACAACTTGGATCTTTGCAGAGTTCATCAGGATTGATTTTCATATGTTTATAACAACAATTCATTGTCGTGACATGAAATTGCAACAATTCATTTCCATCAACTGTGCTTCTTGGATGGTTTTTGTACTGTCCAAATGACCTTTTCTTCACAGTTTCTCTGTATTTTTCAAATTTTTCCAACATATCAATGGTGTTGTTCACCCTTAGAACTTTCTTTATTGTTCGACGTTGCTTTGATGGATTTGTTGTGGATGCTAGAAAAATCTTCTCGATAATATTCCTAGATGGATGTCCAATTTCCAGTTCTGTTGAACCACAAAATCATGTTGTGTTAGAGGGGGAAAAAAAAACAACTCCAAGCTTAACTATGTTGTGTTATATATGGGACATCACTACAGTAAGTAATCAGTGGCGGAGCCAGAATTTTCGATAAGAGGGTTCAAAATCTGAAAAAATAGATACATGAAGTAGCCGAAGGGGGTTCGACATATGCTATATATACCTAAAAAACTATTTTAACCATGTAAATATAATATAATTTACCGCAGAAAGGGATTCGGACGAACCCCTAATTAAAAGGTGGCTCCGCCACTAACAGTAATCAGTGGCGGAGTTAGTATTTATTGAGGGGGTTCAAAAATATCAAGACGTCAAGGGAATTCAATATATATCTATCAAAAATATATTTTACAACTACCGAAAAATAATTTTTTATTTTTTCAAATTTGGTCAAACACTTTAAACTCACTTTTAACTTTCAAGAAACATAGCCAAACAA